TTATGTTTGTTCTCTCTCTGGAATGCATCCTTCGAAAGGGCAGAGATCACTTCCAGAATAATCACCATTGTATCTCAAAAAGACGAACACAACATCTGGAAGCAAGTAACTTTTTGATAAATATTTGTTAAATGGATGAATCAAGGAGTAAGGAAGATTGGTTGTATGGAATGCACCAGAGTCGAGCCGAATTTATGGAACAGTACTGACAGAAGATGCGATGAAGATAAATTCATAGTGTGAGGATAACTGCAGGAATGTGTGGAAATAAATCTTGGACCACAATTTCAGATGTAAGGAATAATATTTACGTTTATATTTATAAATATAGATCAACCTAGCTCCAATTTCAAGAATTCCACTCTCCCAGGTTGGTGGAAAACTTAACCTCAGTTATTCTTGAGTTTCCCTTTTCTGCTTCAAGAGGGGCAAAGATTCGAGGGTTTTATGTGGGGCTGAGGCAAGGGCCTTGGCCAGTGAACTGTTTGTCCAGGGGATTCTACTGGGGCATGCAGCGCTGGGTTCTCTGGTGTTCCCAGACTTCTTTTAAAAAGTGAGAAACCTTTATGAGGGATGGTGTGGCCCTCTCTGCTTGGGCACAAGGCAGTCACTCTGGAGTCTTGCTTCCTCTGCTGCGCTTTGTAGTGCCACCAGAAGTGCAGAAGCTTGCTTCCCCAAATGTGGGACCCACAGACTTCTCTCTGTGTACCCTAATTTGTGGGACTCCATTTTCACTGTGCTGCTTCTCAGAGCACTTTTATGCTTTGGTTATTTTTAGGGCACTTTGCATAACCTTCTGAAATAGATTCAGGTTTATCCAAGCCAGGAGGCACATATGTATGGCAGCCCCATCCACCTTGAGCCTTGCTATTCCAGTTACTTGGCTCTTTCTGACAATTTCAGCAACAGAAAAAAAATAGGATGAATGAATCTAATTTACTATTTCATAAACTTACTCTACTAATAGGAATTAAGTTTTGACCTGGACAGAGGCAGAGAGGGCAGTTATGACCCCTGCACTCTTCTGCTTCGCATGTGAGCTTTAGCTCTACCTTGGAGTGCAGCTCGAGCTCCTTAGTCTGGCCACAGAGACCTGAAGGGGTTTTGTACACGCGTGGGCTGTCTTCACCCGGCTCGCGCGCATGCACACTCCCGATTGCGTGTCTGGGGGCAGTTCTGCAGGAAACTTCTGCCGCCTATTACGGACACTCACCGTACGCTGTGCCTTTTCTTTACAGTGCTTATACATGGTGGCCACCTTGTCTTACAAGAAGAGACATGCAAAGGCTAACTGCAATGAAATGCCATCTTTACTTGGATCAGCAAAATCCCGAAGTCCAACAAGACGCTGCTGAACGAAGGCGCGTTCCTATGCGCCACTAGTGGGAGTAAGAAACCCGCTGGTCAGCACAGCCTCGACGGCCACATCTGTCAAGAGGTGGACCCAGATGGCGCGCCTCATGGAAACCGGTCCACACTGTAAAATTACGTGTTATGACTTTATCCACAACGGCATGGTTTTTCTAATACAAAACACTGGGAAGGAAGCGTCCCCAGCCGAGGGGGGTTAAGTACCCCGAGAAGTACCCGTCCAACAGGGTACTGTGCAGCTGTAACAAAGGAAAGGCAGGAGGCTTCCTGAATACGAGATGGGGCCATCTCCTAGTTACTTCCGTGTTTGCTTTGCTTTGTGTCCTCTTTCGAGGCCCTCTCCACTCCTCTCCCTCCACCTATTCGTCCCTTTCCCTTTTGCAAAAGTTTTATCTCCCTCTTTCCTATCATCTGTCCTTTATTTTGATCTTTAATTTATTTATATTTTAAGTTCCTCATACAAGAAAAAGGATGCAGTATTTAAGCTTGTGGGTCTGATTTATTTCACTTAACATTCTGGCTTCCGGGTGCAGCCATTTTCCTACAAATGAATTAAATTTATCTTCTTTATGGCAGAGTAATGCTCCATTGTATATAAATACCACGTTTTATTTCTTTCATTTTGGTCTTTATTTATGCTTTGATTTTCTCATAGGAGAGAAAGCATATGGTATTTAATTTTGTGGGTCTGATTTATTTCATTTAGCAAAAAAAAAGTGGCATGCAGAACAATTCATATGGCATGCTACATTTTATATAAAAAGGGGTTAAGTAAAAAACTACAAATACGTATGTATTCCATTTATGTGTATAAGCATAAAGAAAGTCTGGAAATACGTATAAAAAACCAAAAACAACAATTATCTATTTTTGGAGAAGGGGTAGAATGGGACGGGGTGGTGGGAAACACCAGGATACAAGAATGTAAAGAAATCAAAGTATTTAAGGACATTCACTTCTCCTGAATATATAATACATAATTGTAGATGAGTCAAAGTTTGAAGTTAATTATTGAAATAAAATCCGTTAAACAAAAGTTATGATTTATCATTTATCTCTTCATGGAATAAAGGATATAATGGAAACTGTTTAAGGAAAGTTAAAGGGTTAATTAATACTTAATTGTTAGTTTTCATGGTATTCACTGAAATAAACTCTGTATTCTTCTACCTCAAAATTAAAGTGGACAAATATCAGGCATTGCTTCTCGTTGGAGAATTGCAGGTGTTTTTACTTACAAAAGACATTTTTAAAAGTCAATTTTTTTTTTTGGTACCAGGGATCGAACTCAGGTCCTTGCGGTTGCGAGGCAGGCGGCAGAACCACTGAGCTAAATCCCCAGCCCTAAAAAGCCAACTTTTAGGAATAGATGCAAGAATCTTTTGTTTTACATATTTAAACTGACAAGATGGAGGCGTTTCCAATTAAGTTAATTCAATCTAGAAATAACAAAAAGACAATTCTTCAAAGTACTTCTGTTTAGTCAATTGAAATATAGTATATATATATATATATATATATATATATATATATAAGAGCAATAAATGATTGCCAATGTATAACTTTTAAAAAAGAGGGTAACCCCATCTAGAGATAACTAGAGCTATTAGATCTTGGGAAATTCCCTCTAGACATATATCGAGGACACAAGTGAAGCTGGTGAGGAGCTCCACTGTAGCTGTGGAACCAGTGAAACCGACTGTAGGTCCACCTGGAATTAGTTACTCTCCAATAAGGACACTGATAATCAAGGAATTTAAACTACTTATATAGTTGCTTTGAGATTAATGCATTCATTAATAGTACTTGGATCCTATTTCCAAAGCACTGAATATAATAACATCTAATGCACTCCAAGTGCTTAGATCACAGTTTTATTCTTCTTGTTCAATTTTACAGTTAATTCTGTTCAGCAGATATTCAGCAGACACTGACTACTCATTTCTAGAGAATTGTTCATTCCTTTCACTCAAGCCTTAAGCATGTAATCAACAGATTTTAACTTGTAATCTGTTGATTTCTTGGTTCAAAATACAAAGGGTCAGTGAGGAACAATTGGCTTTAGCAACTCTTGGACATAAATGTACATTGTGAACCAACTGTTAATATCATTCATTTCTTTATAAAGAATATCCACGTCTTAGGAATTCAGGCCCTGTCCATTATCGTTGTCTCCAAAACTAGTGGGGTAAAATTCAGAACACGATAGAATCATATTTTCTTTCCTCCTTTCTTCCTCCTTCTACAATAATGATAGAATGTTTTGGGCTATCTTGTTTTGTTCAGTTGCTTCCACAATTATGAAGAGCCCACCCTTGTCTTCTTTAAAAGCTTAACACATTCAGTATTTCACGAATAAAAGATAACTGGGGATATTAAAATATTCTGTCCTCTTGACTCAGTTCCCTAAAAGCATAGACATAAAGGGGAGTCACAAACTATAATCCAATTGAATGGATTTAATTTCCCTTTTCTATCTGGTGTACATGCACCACCTGGTGGCAAAGTAGTGCATTTTAAATGCAGAATGTGTGTGTGTGTGTGTGTGTGTGTGTGTGTGTGCGCGCGTGCGTGAGTGTGTTTGGAGGCTATATAACATGGGACAGAAGATTTTAATACATGTTCCTAAATGCTTATTTAGATTGATGATAAATGTTTCTATACGACATATCTAATAAAACATTTGAACACTATCCTGTATATGCTAGTACAGGAAGTAGAGAATAACTTATTTAGGAAAATAAAACAGCTTCATCTTATTTACATGAGCTATAGATCTTACAGTTCCATCCCTGAGTTAACATTTATTGTGCTAAGCTTCTTATTGAGGCAAAAGTCAAGCACTGATAACCAAGGTAAACCATTTTCTTTATTTTTAATTTTTAAGAGTAATAATGTTTAAAATGATGCATGCTCTACCTTATACCAGCCATTAGTATAAATCATGGGGTGTAGAATTTTGAGATTTGAAAGCACCACAGGATAATCTGGAGCAATACCTTAATTTTACGAATGTAGCAGTAGCTAAGTGTTAGGAGTATCAGTGGATTTGCCCAAGGTCATACTGGCTGTTAGTAGCCAGACTCAAGAAACCAGGGCTCCTCATTTTCTGCCTGGGAACCTAAAAGTTATACTCATATGCAGTGGCACATTATCTATGTGCAAAAAGGGTGGCCTTAACTCAGTAATATAAGCTTTAAGATACCAACATGTGAGTTAATACATGTTAATTTTGTTCTGATATTCTGAGTACGAAAGGGTACAGTAATCAAAGAAATACATGCATCATAAAGCTATGGAAAAGACTTTCTAACTACTAAAACCCTCATGTATTTACATATATGTTCTAGGAGATGTTTTTCAGAGTTCATACAGCTGCTGTATTGTAAAGGAGGTCTAAAAATCCCGTCCCCTTCTCACTGGTCTAGAATCAGGATTTGTTTCTACAAAGTAGACACACACTTGTAGATTTAAGCATAAACTATGTTCACAGCTCCCTCTTATGACCATCGAATATTATACAAGCCTCCTTTTATTCTCGCTGTTGTATTCAACTAACAGCTCACTGGTTAAGTTTTAATTGCTTCCAATGAGGTCAGCAAAGGTATTTATCAAAAAGCCCTGAATACAGGGTTCCACACGCACACACACACACACACACACACACACTCACATGCGCTCGCGCAGACAGAGAAAATCCTCTTGCCTGTTGATTTATGGAAACAATTATGATTCTGCTGGAGAATTTCTCAGCTGAGAAATAGTTTGTAGCTACAGTAGAGAGGCTCAAGTTGCAAAGGCAGACAACAGACACGGAATTCTTGTGTATCCAGCTGTTATAAACAGAACAAGTAAGTTACTGTTATTTGTCTTTAAAAGCAGTGTTGAATGTTTTCTAAAGTTATCTCTTGCTCTGATAATGGTACTGAGGGGGAAAGTAGTTACCAGATTTTATAGTAATTATGCTGTGGAACAAACATAAAGGCAAGGTTGAAGTTCTCTAGTATAATTCTGACATTTAACTTGAAAAATGTGGGCTGCTTAGGAGAAAATAATTGCTTAACCACAAATGTAAAAGCATACAATAAAAAAATCTGGAGAAAGCATTTATGCTTTGTTAGTAGTAATTGTAGAACTTGATTTAAATTAACAGCTCTAAGTATAGGATGTTTCTTACAAAGTAGCAACTGGAATGAATGATACGGTCATATTCTGATTTCTCTCCACTAATGGAAAACGTTTATAAATCTACATATAGAGTGGTAAAGATGTTGACATCCTCTGTGAAAGCTGTTTTGAATGTATCTTCAAAGTATAAACTGTATTTGTTGCAATACTATTTACCCACTGAAATTTATACATGCATTTTTGTATCTTCCTCTCTTCCCCCTCCCCATTCTTAATCTGTCATTGCAAACAGAAGTCAAGTAGCAGACAGCGCTGCAGCAACTGAGCTTATTGCAACCTGTTTTGTATAAGGATATATCAACACAGAGTTATTTAAGGAGGAATCCTGTATTGTTACCGGAAGCTGCAAGGATAAGTGTACCACTCTGGAAAGAGCAAGGACTCTTTCGTAAATCAGTTCACAGATAGGAAAAGGTCGAAGACCCAGGAGTAGCAGTCAACTGCAGACTGAGTTTTCATTATGGTGTTCATGGGCCCCCGGAGCACTACTCTATAATGCACAAATGGATACTCACATGGATCCTGCCGACTCTGCCCTACAGATCATGCTTTCTCCTTGTCTGTCTCGTGGGCACTCTAGCTTTGGCTTGCAATGACATGGCCCCAGAGCAAATGGCTACCAGTGCGAACTGCTCCAGCCCTGAGCGACATACACGAAGCTACGACTACATGGAAGGAGGGGACATAAGGGTGAGAAGACTTTTCTGTCGAACACAGTGGTATCTGAGGATTGACAAGCGAGGCAAAGTCAAAGGGACCCAAGAGATGAAGAATAACTACAGTAAGTGTTGTCTTTTATTTAAAACTCTTAACAGTTTGCTAAAGGTCCAATTTTCAGGTGACATGCTTTCTCAGTTTCCTGTATTTATGAAAAAATCTAAATGCAGCATCACCTTCTAATTTTTCTAAATTGAGATTGTTAAACTATGTTCCTAAAAGTTTCTCTTGGAACAGAGCAAATCCACTAATATTGTACTTGGAGCTGATAATGCCAGCCAGTTGGAAAATACACATTCCATGTCCTGAGCTCAAAATGCTTCTATGCAAAATGGAGATGATATTATTCACACTGAATGTGGCTTTCTTTTTCTCTAGGAAAACTCATTCGTAGCTCTTTTACAGTTCTCGGGAAAGCTTACCCAAACTACCAACCACTAGTTTGGGGAATAGGGAATTTATTTATTAGTTTAGTTTGCTTTGAAATAATATTTCCATGATGCGAAAGACAATCTGTGTTCAAAAAATGCATTCTTGTTCACTTGTGTATAGAAGTCAGAAGGGAATCTGTGGTACTCTCATCTGTTTGTATCATTATGAATTGGATTGGATTGCTTAACTACCTATCTAGACAGAAAAATTGATTTTTTCCTAACATTTTCTTGATCTAAATCTTCTGTCATATAAAATCTATATCACTTTAAGAGAAAAAATATGAAGCAATAAAAGCAAGTTGGAAGAGTTGTTAATTTCACGATTTTCAATTGAAAGCCTTATATTTTCCCCCAAGAACCAGTTGTTCTTTGCACGTTAATATACTAGGGCTTAAGTTTTCATTCAGTGGTTATGATCAATAACTACCTTCAACGGTAGTATTATGTTCAATGTGGTATAAAACATACATGTCAATGTTTATTTTAAGGATTAAAAATCCCTAATTGAAGATGAATTTTGTTTGCACTATTAGCACACGGGCAATGTCACTGCTACACATTTTATAATACGTGTGTCAAAGTCAATTGAAAAAGCATATCTGAGGAGGGTGGTGTGGACATATGCCCTCCATAGGGCTGGACTGACAGCACTTGCTTACAAGTTCTGTTGCTTGTTTATTAAGGGGCCTCTAGGCTTCTAACTAATCAACCAATAAATTTTGGGGAATTATGTTACCAATATGAAAATGAGTGGATCTTCTCTTAACCATAATTGATTTAGGAAGTTAAGGCCATTTTGATGGCCTGTTATCAGTTATAGTTTTATTATTATTATTATAATTAATAAGGGTATCATATTAGCTCAAGAAAATTTTTCTGACTGTTCTGAAGTTTAGCTAAGGAAATGACTATTTGGAGGAAGTTTTGTGGATAGCTACTTTGATGTGTGCAGCAGAATTTGGCTTATAATCAGTTTATTTAACAATTAGTAAGATTTATCATGGGTAATGGAATCCGGTAGAAAGGCCAGAGTCAAGGTAGAAGTCAAACTATTTCTTGGTTTTCCAGTCTTCAATTTGTAAAACGTGGGATGTGCTCTCCAACACACCTTCTAGTTCTCACAGTGTATTCTATCCTAAATCTCAGAATATGTTACATAAAGATTAAGAAACCTAAGTTCCCATTATCTAATGATCCCCAATGAATGAATGAGATGGAAGCAAATATTATCTCCATAAGATATTCAAATTGGAGTAATAAGGTTATAAAACCTAAACTATAGAATTCTTTCACATGCTAATGGCTTTTGAATGCTTTTACCAAATAATAAAAAAGAAAAAAGATGTAAAATTTAGTGAAAAGTGTAATATGTGTGACTATTTGGTATTACAAATATTTATAACTGAAATGCATTCACATATGTAAATTTTACTTTGTCCGCAAACATTTCTTAAAACCATGAGACTTAGGCATTTATGCACATGTACAAAATGCTGAAATCATTTTATAGTTTGTAATACAATTTAGTGCTTACTTTCAGTAACCATGAGTTGCCCTAAGTTCCGTAACCATCAATCATAACCTTGAGTAATCTTCAGACAATTTGGTACATCATTTCTCCTCAAGTGCTAATTCTACAGTAAAAAGATAAAAGAAAACCATTCTCTATCATTACAAATTAGAATGTCACAATGCCAATGTATTAAAAAGACATGATATAATTATGCAAATAATCTTCACTTACAAGCTTTTTCATGGTACATATATGTATTATATATGCTGTACCTTCTTGATATGTACATTTCCTAGAAAGAGAAAGCCTTATCAGAATCCTTTAGGTTAATCCCAAAAGTGTTGTCAAGTTGTGTTGCTATCCTATTGAAAAAGGAGCTAGTTAAAAAAAAAAAAAAGAACAGAGAAAAGAAAAAGAAGCCAGTAAAGTTTTTCCAAAGTTAAAAAGAGGTTAAGGCATTTTTTGTCCCTAGGAAATCCTAAGATACAGAAGGAAATCCTTCAGTGAAGAATACTTTGAGGGGAATTTATTAGAAGGAAATTCTGATAAGCACTGCCCATTACTCAGGAGCGAGAGCAGCTTGCTCATTTTAAGAATGAGTGTCCCTACGTAAACATGCAAATTGACAGATGTGAAATGCTACCTATGGCCATCACTTGGTTCTTGGTTGCCCTAAGAAGCCCTAAGAAGCCCTGGTTCATCATCATGCCTTTGCTCTGAATGAAGGGAAGCTCTGAGGGTGTTAACGGACTTGGAGGGTCCCACACTGCACCAGCAGAAGCGCAGCTCTTGGAGGGGATTGTGGGGTTTTAGGGGGTGGTGGTGGTGGGGCTTGAACTTGAGGCCTTGTGCATCCCCTGGAAGCATTCTACCATGGAGCCAATTTCCCAGCCCCTAGAAATGTGGTTTAAAGATTTTGGAAAATAGGGATTGGCATTAGCAGGAGAGGTGAAAGATGTGAATGAACAGTTCTGCTTCCAGGGTGTTGAGTTGGGAGAGGTGGGTGCAGGGTAGACAGGAAGAGAGGAGCAGGGTGGGGAGATGGACGGGATCACTCATGTCTCATCTGTAAAGGATTTGAAAAATGACTTCGGTTGTCTTAGATGATGAAGATCTCACTTAATTACAGTCTTGCAAAAATACTTTAAGGATAGATTAGAATGAACAAATTGCAGAAAGAGTACTCTGAGGGACTCAGCAGAAATAAGACTTGTACTCATTGATATGTCAGCAAGACCTAACTCTGTAGATGGGGGAATTCATGAGAGGTGAAGAGAGGCTGGACTGCATTTCTGAGTCTTGAAGGAAGAGATGCTACTGCCAGAGAATGGTCTTAAGGGATCGCATGCAATTTTTACCCAGGAGGCAGAAAGCTTCTCTTCCCTGCTTGTTCTTTCTGGGGGCTCCACGGTTAGCTTTCAGGTAGGTTTCTAAGCAATAAAGCTGGAACCTAATCTGAGCTAACTGTAAGTGGAATCAAAGCTTAAAATGTTCCTCCAACATGGACATTGAAAAGGAAATGGAGGCATATGGGGAGCATCATGAAGGAACTGGAATCGAGTGGGCAACACTGATTTCTGCGGTCAGAGCTCTCCCCTCAGAGACAAGGCCAGATGGGAGGTGGGATGACCATGGGGCAGACAGAAGCTGTCACTCTACACCTGCTGAAAATAGCACTGCCTCCACTGGGCTTGAGGTGCCGAGTGAGAGGGGGAAGCAGTGCACTAGGCACTGGGCAGCTGCCCTGAGAGATGGGTGTGGAGCAGAGAGTCACCACTTCCGGTTAACTTTCTTATGGTGGGGACCCTGTTACTAAAACGCCGTGTTCTCCCCAACAGTAGTTAACACCCCTCATCTTTTTAAGAAGACTTCCTACATTGTCACAAGGCCCTGACCCACAGAAAGTATGTCTCACTGGGGTGTCACTGAACGTTGTTAGTTCTGTAGCAAGAAAAGGGTTAGCCATTCTGAAAATTGGCCAAGGATTTGGCAACATTCTCTCTGCATTGTTAGACTGTGATGGGACATGGCCTAGCAATCGGCAAAAAGCAAATTAAACACAGCATTGTTGGATTTGACTTTGGCCACAAAACCTTCAGCAGCTCGACTGTCAACAATTCTTTGGATGGGCTCCTGGTCAATGATGATCTCTGCGAGGAGCTGTCAAACACGTCTCACCTCTGAGGACGAAGTGGGTACATTTGTGTACGTGCAAGTTGTTTAAAAGAATAATAACCCTCATTATCAAAATAAAATCAACAATGTAGAGACAACTGCTGCCATTAATAAAAGAAATGGGGAATGTGTCTGTGGAGTTTCATGGACTCCATCTATGAAATGAAGTCCTAGGCATCACTGACAAGGTGGAATCCTACAGAGCTGGTGATCAGAATTCCCGTAAGTGGCTTGTTAAGTCTTTAAATCACAGAGGATGGATAAACCTCCGGGGAGCACATTTAGAAATAATTAGCTGTTCTTTGCAAACTCCGAAATTAAGGATTATTTTAAATTTTATAATCTTTCTCTTTTTGGGGGCTATGACAAGTGACCGGCATTTACTAAATGCTAATAATTGTCACAGATGTGTCTCTTAGCATCTCTATGTCTTTTGTAGATCTTCACCTGAACTGAGCATTTCTGTATCACTGTCATTTCTGCATCATCCCAGAGATGCTGGGCATGTATTCCTTCAGCCTACAGTTTTAGAGCAGTCAGAGGCCCAAGTGAGTTGAAGAGAACTGCCTTTTCCAGATTTTTTTCTCTACCCTGGTTAAACACTGTAATCAGCTGGGGACCTTTAAAAACTATTAATGCCATGTTCCACCCGCAAAGGTTCTCTTTAAATTGATCCAGAGTGCAGTCTCGGTAATAGGGATTTTCAAAGCTCCCTGGATAATTCTGACATGCTGCCAAGGCGGGGAACTGCTGGATGAAAGGGATGGAATTAGATTATTGGGGAAAGCACAGCTCAAGAAATTAGAATCTCCTAAAGCTGAGAGGACCCAGGAACTGGTATTTGTTAAAGTTCTCCACTGGTTCTATTGTGCAGCTGAGGCTGCCAACTGCTGCCTGCGGAGACAAGAGTTCCACTGAGGCTGGGGACCCCCCAGCCCCGTA